AAGGACTCCACCAAGGGATAATAACATAGAAAAATGAGCAAACAGCAACTCAAACCACTACGATACCGAGATAACTAAAAATACGAAAAACAAACAAACACTGCATAATTAAGAAACTAATCCTTCCACATCGAAAGAAGTTCTCACAAATAACCATCTAGTTATAGAAAAACTCTTGTTCTCCTCTTACTAGAATATATGAGAGTGAGGCCCTATCTATTCTATATCAAGGAGAGCCCGGTTAATATACCATATTAACAAAGATGTTAATATGGTGGCAATTTTGCAAATATGAGGAGTGGAATCTACTACCTTCGTTAATGGTTATGTGCAACTTTGGGGTTGTTTGCGGTTACGAAGCAAAACTTGAGGGGCAAATATTAGAGAAAGTAGATGAACTTAATTAAAGGTATAGGAGAGAGAAAGTAGGCTCACCGACTTGCAATTTTGGTGGGGAAATCTGGTCCTTTTATGAGGGACTTGATTTCCCCCCAAATTTTCACCAAAAATTCGAATTGGTTGAATTTTTGGTGAAAATTTGGGTTCCCTCCTACTTTAAAAAAAAAAAAAAAAAGCACAATTTCAAAAAAAATTTAAGGCATTTAAAGCCTTCATTCAGCATTTGAGAGGCATATAAATACCAGCCTCCATCATTCCAACACATTCAATATTTACAAATATAAGGTTTCCTCAAAAGATGAATTTGTTAATCCTAAAGTTAGCACTAAATACACATGATTAGCCCATTAAAACCCAAAAAAAAATCCCCTAAACTGAAATTAGTGTTGCACATCATCAACGTTCATAAGCTGCATCTCGTAGCATCCTTCATCTCCTCCAAAAAAAATCATCAGCCACCTCCACATCATCAAGCTAAAGCTGAAGAAAAACAATTCAGACAACACATGGCAGAATTTGTTGAAGCTCTGTTTTTCGATGTTGATAAAATACTAACAAAAGAAGAGCTGGAAGAATTGTATTATGACCATGAAGAAGATATGCAAGATATAAGCTTGGAGGACTATGGATATGAAGATGAGAACATGCATGACAACCAAGAAGAAGAACATGGCCAGCAAAACACACAGGTTGAGGTTGATTCCCCAGAAATGCAACAACCAAATGAACAAGGGACTCAAGTTCCACAAAGAAAGCAGCTCACCATGCAAAAGAAAAGAGAGATTGTTGATGCACTGTTGGTCAAAATGCATGAGGGGAACATCCCAAGGGGTCACATGAAACATTTATCAGTTCAATTCAATGTTCACAAATCCACCATCACAACTTCACAAGAATATTAATAAAAAAACAGATGGCACAAGGGAATTTGATTGATGTTAGGACTAAGAAGTATGACAGAATAAGTCTAAAGCCAATACAATTTTCTGATCAATTTCTACAATCAGTCCCTTTGCATTTAAGGCAGACAGAAAGGAGTTATGCAGCAGCATTGAAGATCTCTCATGTTACTCGAAGATTCAAGCTCAAGGCAATGTTTATGGCCTTAGTTGGGAAGCCATTGTATGACACAAATGGGGAACTACTCCATGATGGGAAGTATGGCATATTCCCATTCACTGTCAAACAACTAGCAAAGAAATCCAGCAAAAACAGAGCAGCAGGAACTTGGGAAACAAAGGCACTCCAGATGTAAACAAAGAAGTGATTAGAGATATGTTGCTGACAAAGGTCATACCAGCAATTATCTCAAAGTGGCCTGAAAGTCTGGCCAAAAATGTTATCATCCAATGGGAAAATGCAAGGCCTCACCAAGTTCCTAAAGATGAAGAGTTTATGGTAGCAACCAAAGCAAATGGGTTCAACATTCAATTTGTTTTTCAGCCACCATAGTCACCTGATTTGAATGTGCTTGATTTAGAGTTATTTAGGTCTATTCAATCTTTGCAATATCAGACTTTTCCTAGCAACCTAGATGAGCTAGTTGAAAAAGTGATAGACTCTTACACATTTAATCCTCAAGTTAACAAGTACATGTGGGTGACTTTGCAAAAATGCATGATAAAGATCCTCAAGGCAGAAGGTGGGAACAAGTACAAAATACCCCACATGAACAAAAAAAAAACTTGAAAATCTTGGCATTCTACCAGATCAAGTAGAAGTGCAGAAGAAAGTAGTGATGGAGGCTGCGGAGTACCTAAACACTATGTTTAGGCCAGCAAATCAAGGCACTGAACAAGAAACAGAAGATATGGAGGTAGATGTAGACTAGGGGACTCATCACAACAATGAAGCAACACATGGACTGCCACACATAACCACTTAGCTCTGTTAATCCTTTTTTTTCATTCACTTATTAGGTGGTTAGGTGTATTTTGTTGATTACAATGATGCAAACATGTAAGGCAGTCTTATGTAAGGTCTTTTGATGAAGGTATGGTCCTTTTGTACCCACATTTTGAATGGAATAGAAATGAATAAGAATCAGCTGTTATGTGGGCACTCAATCCATCAGAAGCTTTGTATGTCATTGTTGAATACAACACTAAGTCACAAAGTTACCTCAACAACAACAACATTAAACAAATAATTGTTGGAGCAAAACACTTGTGTTTAGTGAATTTCAAAGGAGTCCCTTCATCATTTGGATTTGACAAAGTAAACAACAAAGTTAAATGGGGGACTCAATACAAATCAGGCTAAAAAAGATAATCAATGGGGACTCCTTTAAGAAATGTTTAAAAATAGTAAGGGACTGACATGTGTTCTCTACCCAAATGATCATTGAGAACACTGTAAGGTATAACCATGCCACCATTAAAAAAGAAAGCACACAGAAGCCTCATTATTCATCAATCAAACCCCCATAGGCACCATATGTCATTTAGGCAACACCAAACCAATCATACTGGCCAATGAAACCAAAACATGCAACATGAAGCAACAACAAGCCAACATAATCCATCAAATCAAACCAATAATAATCCAACTAGGAAACATAATACTTTCAGAACAAGGCTATAAGAATTCCAACAAGCCAATAATCAACAACAATTACCAGTATAGGATGTCAAGTCCAACAACCCAGCATATTCCAACAAGCCACCAGATCAGAAAAAAACCACCTAACACATACATGAAGCCAACATAATCAAAATTTGCAAACATAGCCAAGAATCCAAAAGATCAGACAAATGAACTCAACACAACCAAACATCCAACATGTACAACAACCCAACACAATCAGAAGTAAGCAACAAAGCCAACAAGCCACCAGATCAAATCAACATACTATCAAAAAAATCAATGGAAAGGGACTCAAATCAAAAATTAAATAAATTAGGGTTAGGAATCGTTACGCAAGCAGTCACTTGGAGGGTTGAACCTTTGGGTTCATCCGCCTCGCACAGTACTTCAAAGGAGGGCCCTACACTTCACCATCTTCCACTGGAGGGGCAGCCTTCATTGAAGGAGGTGATGAACCCTCCTCCTTCTCAGGCTCATTATCAGAGGACAGAACGATCAACGCTTAATCTGGCAACCCACGCATTCGCCGTAGAGCCACCAACGCCGCTTTCCTTCTAGCCCGGATCTTCGTGGGTGGCCTAGCCCTCTTAAATCTGGGCTTTTTGGTGGGCACAGAACTCCCCTCACCACAATCACAGACTGGACCTACAGATACAACACTGAAATCAAGCAATTTCTTGCCACGGGAATCCCCCTGACCCTCAGCCCTCTTGAGATGCTCCTCCTCCTCAACACTTTCAAGCACCTTACCCAAAGCCTTGTAGGTGGTCGACGTACAGTAAGGACCAGCCTCACCAGACTCATAGAATTGGCGAGGAAAAGGAGATCCCGTCTCAATAGATTGAATTAGGGACACAATCAAATTACCCTCACCGACGTCGTCGGTGGCCATGAAAGCCTCGTGAAGTGGATCAAGGTTAATCATGTTCTTGGGGGACTCGTTTTTTTCAAGATCTGATGTTTCAAGGTAAGATCTAGAGAGTAAGATTGGAGAAAACTAGGGACGAACAAGAGAGAGAAAGATGAAGAAGATGAACTAGGGTTCATCTAAGGAACTATCCAGAAAATAAAAGGAAGCCCAATCACATATCTTAATTTTTGGTGGTTGGGAATGTGAGTAAATGAGAGTAGTTGGGGGGAAATGGGATAATAAATGGAGGGAGTAATTAGATTTGAGTAATCTAATTAATTTTAGATTAATGTGATTAAAATAAGATAAGGGTAAAATTAAGAAAATCTAAATTTTTAAGTAAGGTTAAATATGTAATTTCCAGGGTTTTTGTTTACTAAAAATAGAAAGAAAATAGAAAGTCGCACAAAATGTTTAGCGGACAAAAATAGTAAAAGTTGCACATAACATTTAACAGAGTTAGTATTATTTTATTATTTTTCTATTCCGTTGGCTTCTTTTTCCTCTCCTCCTTCGTCAGTGTTCATGTTAGGTGTCAACCAAATTGGAGTGGAATTTCATGTTGGGAGCCGTCAATCCATTGTGCTAAGCTTCGTCGCTGGCGAGATCTGAAAGTGCTAAGCCATGCTCAACCCCAGCAACACCATCTCCGGCGGCTTCCGCCGAATTTAACGAAAAACCCTAAGAAAATTACATAAATTAAGGGCATAATTAACCCTAAATGGTAGGTGTTAATCATTGTTTGATAGTTGAAATCTTGTTAATGGTGAGTCTGCTTCGTTAAGTGAATTCAAAACCAAATACGACACACCACATTTGAATTTAAAACCAAATGCGACACACCAGAGTTGTGGAGAAGAAGATTGCGAACTGCAACATCTAATCTTTGAGGGAGGACAGTTTGCGATGGACTTCGTGCATCTTGACGGAGTGCCAGTACTGAACCATTTAACGTCGGTCGGTAGTTTGTTGTTATATGGACTTCGTGCATTAACAACTTTACCCTTACTAAATAGGCGGAAATGACACTTCGACCCTCATATAAACAAAACCTGTTAATATGGCATATTAAAGGTATTTTCTCATTCTATATCCCGTGTTTTATTAGCACGGGTACGTTCTAGTTATTTAAAATGAGCTGTAACATCGCAGAGAGCTGAAATTGGCGAGAACCGAGAAGCATCAGACTTGAGGTCGCCGGCGATCAGGCCGTCTCCTCTGTAAATTCACCTCCTTCTGCGATCACTTCTTCCTGAAACATCACAATTTCTTACTTCACCTAAAAAATGGCGGTAATTCCCTCAGATCTCTGTCTCTCTCCTTCCAACTTCAATTACATCACTCACTCTCTCTCTCTCTCTTCTTCCAGGATTCGTCCGGCATGACGCTGATGGATCTCATGACGTCTGACCCTAAGGCGGCGCCGCCACCACCATCTTCGTCGGCTACTACTGCGCCAATGCAAGTGGCTCCGTCTACCACGATGCCGCCGCCTTCGTCTCTGGGAAAACCTGTTACTGATCGCAAATCGAAGAAGACACACACTACGTTAACGTCGTTACACCATGACACACTTTCTGCTGCTAGAGCTGTTCGTGCTAATATCTTGCCCCAAAAGCAGAAGAAAAGGGTAATTCTATTTATTTTGCTATGTCACATTTGCTATACTTTGATTTTTCTGAGTTTTTCTTTAATTAGGATTGTAATTTGATTTGTTGATATAAATACGAAATTAGATGATTAATTTGGGTGTAATGAGTAGTGTTTGATGGAATTGATTGCTGAGAATTCTCGGTTCTTTCTGTAATGTAAGATTGTTGAGGTGAAATGGAAAGTTTGTGCCATTTTTCCGATTCGGGGTTTTGGTGCATATACCAATTGTTGCTTAAAATAAAATTCAACAAGTTTCATTTTCGCGAGATTTTTGGCTATAAGGGAATGACTAGCTTGTCTTGCAATATGTTAATAGTGTTTATTCTTGGATATTCGTCACAATTATTATTGTTGAATATTAGTGACTTGCTGTTGTCTTTGGTGATTGTATTTTACAGCCAGTTTCATATGCGCAACTTGCAAGGAGCATACATGAACTAGCAGCTACATCTGATCAAGTATGTACTTTGTATTAGTGCATTACTATGCACCCATATGTTTGGTGCTTGTGTTTTCATTCCTATTCGCCTTTCCTAAGTATGTTCTATTCTGTTGTTTTCTTGGTGTTTTTTCTTGTAGAAAAATTCCCAGAAGCAATTGGTGAATCATGTATTTCCGAAGCTTGCTGTGTATAACTCTGTCGATCCTTCACTGGCTCCATCCCTTCTTATGGTAAGTTCTTTTTGCGATTCCAATATTTTGCACCAAACAAAAATAGCCACAAAAAAAAAAAAAAAAAAAAAAAATTACATTAAAGAGTTCTGTTGTGTATGTCTATAGCTGAAATTAGCTGCATCAAGTTGACTCTCAAGTGGCAACCCAGAGTTTACTTTTCCTATTGAATGTGATTTGGACGAAATTGATTTTGAGGAAGTGATCTTTCATACCCCTTCCGTTTCTTTTCAATTGCCAACTTGACTTTTATACTATTCACAGACACCACTTTGACCAATGTTGATGCTTTATACATAAGATTGAACATAGTCATTTGAGTATTTGTTGGAATTGTCTTATTGTATTTTTGTAATATATATTTATTGATAAATAAAGATATAATTGCTCAAATTTCTGCATTGCCATATGTGACAATCAAATTGAGGCACTTGTTTGAGTAGAGGGAGTATTACTTTGTGCTTAGAATCTAGCTTCTCTTCTGTAGTTTCTATATCTTTTGTTGGTGTCCTTGTGTAAAACTTGGACTGTGACACCTTGGCACCAGGTCCTCTATTGTGTCCATTGTTGCTTTTTCATGTGTGTTTGTCTGTTGCCTGCCTTTGCGTTTCCAATTTCATTTGGTTGACATTGCATATTCGCACTACTTTAATTAAAAAGCGAGTTATAATGGATAATTTCCTATGCTTGGTTGTATGTTTGCTTCTGTGATTGTGAGTGATTAAATTTAAAATTTCTGTTTTGATAGAAGTATTTCTTTGTCGACGTTGTCACTAAATACGCTAAACTGCGTCGCTTTGTGTATAATCTACTTTATTCTTTTTTCTGGTCACAACATAACCTTTTTGAAACTCAAGAAGTATTGTTGACAACATGAATATATGATCATATCCTAAGAAATTTGACTCCCTTGATTTCTGTTAAATTCTTTATATGGGCATGGTTTTTGCTGGTAAGCTAATAGTTACTGTTCTCTTTGCTATAAATTTTGCAGCTTCTTCAGCAGTGTGAAGATAGAAATGTTCTACGATATGTCTATTATTACTTGGCAAGAATTTTATCAGATACTGGTTCACAAGGTCTAGGTACAGGTGGTGGCATACCAACTCCTAATTGGGATGCTTTAGCGGACATTGATGCTGTTGGTGGGGTTACTAGAGCAGATGTTGTTCCAAGAATAAGCCAGCAACTTACTACGGAGTCATTAAATGAAGATGTTGAGTGTGAGTGATCTTTTCTCCATCTGTCCTAAATCATCTTGTATTTGATAAAATTACTGATATCCTTAGGCTACTTGGTTTGTCGAAAAACAGGTTTAAAGTTTGTTCCTTGCCCTTTTATGAATTTCGTAAGGACACAATGTGAATATTAGTGGAAAACTACTAAATGTAAATATGTAATGCTACTTTGATGACCTTATATCATACGAATGGAGGGTGTCTTTAGTAGAACAATGTAACAGTGTTATATGTTTGAATTGATTTTTATAATTTCCTTGTTTGCCATTGCTTTTGGGAGTTTTTGCTGTTGATTGATTCATATCTTGAGTTAATTTACATATATCATTGTTGCAGACATTATGTCCCTTGTATTTATTCTTTTCCTCTACTTGATTCATAGTGCCTTTGTGAACAAACTGATATGCCAACTACTAGACAAGCATCATTCATTGATTCCAAACCCACGCCATGCACCCTTAAGCATTACTAGACAAGATTGTTGAACTTATATGTTCATTTAATAAAATAATATTTTTTGGAGTGTGTGTGTGTGGGGGGGGGGGGTGGGGGAGGTGGGACTGAGAAGGGGGTCAATGTAAAATTGTAGGGTCTATATTGTTGTCTTGTCCATATTCAAAATTTGGACACTTCTTGAACTTGCCCCAGTTTTCTTGATATTAACTTTTTCCAAGTCTGACTTATGATCCATACTTTAGTTGTTTCTGACTACGAGCATCATGTATATAATTAGTGGTCTCCAAACCAAATTTTGTTCCACTAAAGAAAGATTGTAATCTTGTTTTGTGATGAACTAACATTGGAAATTGATGTGCTGGATTTTTTTCTCACTCGATTTATTTGTCTTGGCATCTGACCTTTGTATTTGTTGTTTGTTAAAGTTCATGCACGAAGACTACAAGCATTGAAGGCTCTTACATATGCTCCATCAAGCAACCCTGAAATTCTTATGAAAGTGTATGAAATTGTCTTTGGAATTCTTGACAAGGTTTGTCTCTGCTCTACTGCAGTTTTTAAAATGTAGATCCAAGTGAAGCTTCCTTTCACGTATGACTAGATAAGCTATAGTGTGGAGTGACTTTGCAGATTTAAGTTTTGATATATCCATGGTTTTGAACCTCTTAAAAAGTGATGAACTGACCGCTCAAAGTCTCAAGTTTGCATAAATTATGATAAAGGCCATTGTTAATGAAAGCCAAATTGTGTGTGCAATAGAGTTTTACTAACCAGTATTTTTTATCCCTTTAACTTCCCATTTATTAGGCGGTAGTAAATGGTAGGTAGCTTTCTCTGTAATTTTATGAGGAAAGTCCCATGCGAATGTCCATGGTAACAAACTTCTCTCTAAGCATGTGTTTTCTTCATAGACATCCATTATCTTTTAGGGAATCCCTAGATTCCTTGACTAATTAAGGGAGTAAAAGTTAATGGGGAATAGCTCAAGTGGTTAGAGCTCCCCTCCCGATTCTAGGTGATCGTGGGATCAATTCTCATTACCCGTCCTTGTGGCTCTCTTAATACCAAAAAAAAAGGTTAATGGGGAAAGTTTAACTAAAGGAACTATTAAGAAGCTAATCTTCCGGTCCTTCAAGTTTGGCAGTATTAAGATAAATCTCCCTTCGATTTCACATAGCTACACCACTAGTAACAAAACCCAACACCTCACAAACCATTGCAAACCCAATCACATCCTTGCAAACCCACCCACATACCATCGTAAATCTTGCCCCACCTCGCAAAATATTACTCCATGGTGGTTGAATTTATTTTCCTACCATCAAAGACTTGGAAGTTTGTATAATGTTGGCAACGAGCTCATTAGAAATTGAGATGAAGTGGTGGAGGTAGGATGGGAAGGAAGGAGGAAGTGAGGGCTGGGAAGAGAGTAAGGGGCCGTTTGGTTTGCCGTAATGGGGAAAGGGAATGGGAATGATTACCTTTGTTGGTGTTTGTTTTCCCTTTTTTGTCATTCCCATTCCCCTTTTTTATTTTTGGGTTTACCCAAAATCCTCCTAATCTCATTCTCCACCCTCTTACCTTTCCCATTCCCTTTTCCCAACCACCACCATACCCCACGGATGCACCTCGCCTCGCCGGATGCTCGTCGGCCTTCTTTAGACCCTCGCCGCCCTTCGCTGCCCCTCCTCCCACCCGAAAACCCTTCTCCCGACCCTCGTGTAACCCTTAAAAACCCTCCCCTCCACCAGAACAACCGGTTGCACCTCACCCGAAGGAGGGGCGGCGAACAACCGTCGGAATTATGGCCCAACCCTCGGTGTTGCTGGGGAAGTTCGATAGCTGTGTTTTGGTCGGGATTCGGTCAGGATTGCTGAGGTCGAGGACGAGAAGGGTTCCAGTGTGGATTGTTGTTCACCAGGGGGAGGGGCGGTGAAGGTCGGAGGAGGGACGGCCGGTTTCGGTGTGGTGTTGGTTGGCAGTGTGGTGGCTGGAGAAGGTGGAAACTAATGAAGGAAGGGGTGCAATGGTTGTGCTATGGTGGTTCTATGGTGGTTTCATTCCATTCTCCTCCATTCTCACCAAACAACACCCTAAATTCTAAGGGTTTCATTCCATTCTCCTCCATTCCCTATCTGCATTCCATTCCGATTCCCATGTGCGAACCAAACGGCCCCTAATAGAGTTAGTAAGGGAGGAATGATTACCTTAGGGGCCTTGGCAACTGTTACCCTCATTTCCAGGGAACAACATTTATTCCTACTTTAGGGTTCTAAAAACTTATGGTGTTTTACTCCTAATTTTTCCACCCCGGTAACAAGTAATCCAGGTATGCCCTAAAAGAGGTGATACAGGGAGAGTGGTTGGGGGGGGGGGGGGAAGGATAACCATAACTCTGGACACTTGCACAAGTCTAACCTAACAACATTACAAAATAAATCTATTATCATCACAGACTACCGAATGCGGTGGCAAGTTGAGGTATGGCAGCCCAATTTCATACTCGTATTTGTCATTATATGCAAACACACAAAGTCTATTAAAGAGTGCCCTTAATGATTTTGCCTCTTTCTTTTTTGCATCTCTGCTTTGGAGTATCCTGAAATTCAATCTTTTCCTAGAACTTTATTGAGTTTGATTCATCACCATGCAAACACAATATTTTATGGTTATTTTTTTAATGTTTATTTATGTATTAATTTTAAAAAAAATTTCCCCACTTGTTTCTATATGTCAGGTTGCAGATGGACCCAACAAACCAAAAAAGGGGATATTTGGGACAAAAGGTGGTGATAAGGAGGTATCGTTTATGAACTTATGTAGGCCCCTCTTCAAGTTTTTTATGCAGTTATTTGCATAGTGGTCTTTTCATGCATATTTAAATTTGTAATTTTGAGTGAGTTGGAAAATTTTGTGACTGATGCATTGGAGTGGTGATGCCGTTGCAGTTATCTTAGCGGGATTGATAGCTTGTAGGATAGAGCAAGTCTTCCTTGTTTCATTTAGGTGCTTTTTTGTGGGGATATTTCCTGGTTTTCTTTTTATGATATGAAGAGTAAATGGCATGCTGGTTTCTTTTACTCATGATACTCAGAGTCGTTGCCCTCAATTCTTGTAAATTAAAGCTGTATTTTGTTATTCGATGAAATTTTCTAGATCAAGAAAGTATTTTGCTTTGTTAAACAAAGGTTTTGCTTTAAATTTGAATTGTAGTTCATTGTCCGGAGTAATTTGCAATATGCTGCCCTGAGCGCATTGAGAAGACTTCCTTTAGACCCAGGAAATCCAGTGTTCCTGAATCGAGCTGCACAGGGGTAAGCCTTTATTTGATTATTGATTTTCACTTAACTAACTTGCTTAATTATCTAGTCTAAGTATTCAGAATGTATCCCTGTTCCATATTATCTGACTCTTACAGTGCTAAAAAATGTATTAGGAAGTAAAGTTTGACTCTTTCCCTTGAATTAAATTGAATTGAAAGTCAATTAATTAAATTTCCTTGCTGTTGATTACAAAGGACAAACGACAACTGTATTGATTACAAAATTACAAACATTAGGTTTTGCTTTGAAACACATCATTAATCCACTAATGAATGTTCTTGGCATCCACCACTGAAATTTGCCTATTGTCGGACGACACTGTCTTTTTCAGTGATCACTCTTCCTCTGAATGATTAATTATTGCTTGATTAGGAGAGAAAATATTTTAACTCAAGGCCTGTCCAATTTCATTCTAATCTCATATGTTTACAAGTGTTAGCAGAATCAACGTTAGTGGAATCTAGTAAGGTAGTGAGCCGTTCTTCAGCTTAGAAATATGAGCCGCACCCCTACGAACATTACAACATTGTTTGTCACTACCCGAAAAGCAAATGATTGACCACCAACTTTTGATGAGCTAGCCAAATGCTTGAATAGATGAAAGTACGGGAAGTTAAGAGAAGGCTAGGTAATATGGTACACATCAATTTTTCCAAATATATAGAGGAGCTTATTTTGATGATCGACAATCGGGTTTCACTATATTTAGGTAGATAAATCTTGATTGTACTGATATAGGGTGGTTTCTTGGGCATTTTTCTATTTCTTGTATATTAGTCTTATTTGAGTTGCTTTACCTAGCCTCTTCATCTTTTGAATCCTAATTCATCGACATTTTATTTGGGAGGCTAATGTTTGTTTAAGGTTGTGAATAGGGGTGAGCATAACAGCTGTTAAAATTCCTAGAACCGGAACCTGTTGCAACTTGCAACATGTTCCTTAAAATGAGAACTGGCATTGAAACGTGTTGAACAGGTTCCTGGAAAATGGGAATCGGAGCCGGAATTGGAACCTGGACCTGCTAGTTCTGGTTCCGGTTTAGGGTACCCTGTCTTTTAATATATTTTGTACTTTTTTGTAAACTTATTTCAAAAAATTTTGAAGGGTCATAAATTTACTACTTTTACAACGTGCAAATACAACCAAAAATAGTTGTTTAGCAAATTTAATTATTTATAATTATTAATTTAATTTTTATTTATAACTATTAATTTAGTTTTTATTTATTAAAAATTGGGCTTGAATTGATGTATGATATGGGCTTAAGTGATACTTTTATTAGGTTAAAAGGTACCCTGCCCAAAAAATTGAGAACCTAAGCGAAAATCTGTTACAGGTTCTCCATTTTACTACCCGGAATCGAAACTTATTGTATTCCTAACAGGTTCCAGTTCCGATACCCTGTTTTTTTGCTCACCCCTAGTTGTGAATAGTGTGCCTATGGGTTGGGGTAAGAGCAATGCTATTTGGTATGCTTTTAAAAGTGAGGGTGGAGTTTGCTAATCGCTATCATGTCAGATATTTGTCTGCTTTGCTGGTCAGTGTGAAGTTTGCTACCACCAGGTGGCAAATATCTTTGAAGGAAGTTGTTTGCATTGCATGGGCCATGGGGACTAGGGAGTCCTACTTTTATTTGTTTAGAAGAAGTTACCGTGGGCCACTGTATTTATGGTTGTTCTGTGATGTAGTTAGAATTTGAATCAAGTAATCAACAAATATATTCGTAGTGATTTTCTCTAATGTGGAGATTCAAGTTACTCGGGTTTCTTTGTAAATTATGTTGGGTAGTTATTCTCTTTTTCATGTGAAAGAGTAAAAAGTTTTGAATAATAAATACTTGCAGGATTTCATTTGCTGATCCTGTTGCTGTGAGACACTCTTTGGAGATACTATCTGACCTAGCAGCTAAAGACCCTTATGCTGCTGCAATGACATTAGGTAAAACATGCAGTTCTGTGACATACTCTGGTAAACTTGAATAAATGTGACCTATAGATTGCTATGTGCCTGTTTATTTTTTGGATTTGTGTTCTTTCTTGTCAATTGTGGATACTGTTCTCACTTTCATATTTAATATTCTTGCTTTAATTCAGAGTACACTGCCTACTGAGTATTTGTTATTTGTATGTGTGATTCTGATTCCTTACTCAGGAGTGTAACTGTGTAAGCCAGGTGTCATGTTGTTTTAGATTGACAGAATCTAGCTGTTTTATGATCTCTGTCAAAGAAGATTGTGTTTAGGGGAAGGGAAGAAGATAGGATTTGGGAATGCAATTTTTTTTTTGTTGTGTTCATGCTAATTGTGAGATTATATTAGTATGATTCTCTGAATATAGTTGCTTAATATGCTTTAGATTTTGTGGAAAATGTGGCCGTAATTTTTAACAAGTTTTTGTAATGTCATTCTTTAAATGATTTGCTGCCTTGTGTCTGTTGCTGATGTGCACCATCAATGTCCTTGTACTTCAATTTCTTACTAAATACATCCACATTAGCACACTGGCTGACTGGCAGCTGCAATCTGCAGCCACTTGTATATATGATGAAGAAATATCCTTTGGCCATGAGCAGCTTAAGTTTTATATAATCATATGGTTGCAATATTTTTCTGGCATCTATCTTTAGTTCTTGGAATTAAGGGATTTGTAGTTACAATAATCTTGCAAGTAAGTGTTGTCACCTTTTGTGGGCCTGAGCTATCTGAGTATCTGAAATTTTTTTTTTTTTTAATATGCAGGAAAGCAAATTGCATCCGGAGGTATGTTGGTAGTCTGTATTCATGGACTGTTTCGTGGCTTTACTAGTATTTACTCCCTCCGTCCCATAATACTTGACACAGTTCTCATTTTCGTCCGTCCCACAGTACTTGACACTTTACTAAATATGGAATGTGACAACTAATAAAAACATATTTTTCCACATTTCTCTCTCCTCACCTACCCCACTCCTACCCTACGTTTTGTAATATTGCAATATAGAAATACAAAAGAGAATCTTTTAAACAATAAACAAATGTTTTAAATGGATCCACTTGTAATGTTCTTAAACTACGTGTCCACCCCAACATCCCAAGTATTATGGGACGCAGGGAGTACTTAGTTTTTATTATATTTTTTATATTTTCTACAAGTATTTTTTATCTTGGCTTGTTTACTTAGTAGTTATTTATTTATGGATTTTTTTGTCAAAAACTACCTAATAAAACCCAAATTTTTGTGAGAAACTACCTAATGTAAAAAATGTGTTAAGAAACTACCTAATAAAAGGTAGAATGTTGTAAAATATGACCTTCAACCGGATTTCCACCGTTGACCTCAAAACACCCCCGAAACCACTACTTTCATCCCAAAACCAACACACCCTGCTTGAAACTACCTCCGCCGCACTGAAACCACCCTCCAACCCCAAAACCACCAGCTCTTACCCAAAATACCACCACCTGTAGCCCAAAATTACCCCCACCAACTCGGAATATCCCCCAACCACCTCGAAAATAGCCTTATCACCTTGAATACCAACCCTCGCGGTGGTATCAGGGGTGTTTTAAGGTGGGTCAACGCCGGAAAATTAGGTCAATAGTGAAAATCTGGCTAGAGGTAGTATTTTACAACATATTACCTTTTACTAAGTAGTTTCTTACTACAATTTAGTTTCTCATAACATCTGGGTTTAATTAGGTAATTTCTGACAAAAAATCCTTTATTTATTTATGTTTGTGGTATTAGCAGTCTGGTAGCTATTGTCACTATTGTTGTTATACTTTTATGTGATCTTTACCATTACATATCATATTTAATGTGAAGAAACTAATATTGTGTGATGTGAAGTTGGCCTTATCCGATATCAATCATCAGTTAGATAAAATTATCTTATGCCAAATTAGATTATTGTAGAAGACACAAAGGGAAACCTCCTTGGAGATTGGCATGCTTAGATGGGCTTAGTGGTTAGAGGGGATTTGCGGAATATTAGAGTAGGATTAAGTGGATTATGGACTTTGCAGAATGAATAGTCATCCTGGCTTTCCATTTGTTGCTACAGTATAGGGGTTTTCTATGGTTACTATTTTAATGACACAAAGCTTGGTTAACTTATAATTGATGATCTTAAGAGGACCGGTGAATCTGGTCCTCTCAAGATCATATGAACCAGGTGTTTAAAATGTTGATGATCTTTTTCTCGTTTTAAAATGTTCTTTATGTTGCAAAACTAATAATATAGATGTTTATGAACCAGGTGCACTTCATGATGTTCTCCATTTGCATGATGTGCTTGCTAGAGTTGCCCTTGCAAAATTGTGCCATACAATTTCAAGAGCACGGGCTCTAGATGGTAAGGGATTGCATATCATGTTGCAGTCACATTTATAGTAATATGTGACTTGATGGTTTCCATGCTAATGGTTTATATGCAGAAAGGCCTGATATTAAAACTCAGTTTAATTCACTGCTCTATCAACTACTCCTTGATCCAAGTGAAAGAGTTTGCTTTGAGGCTATCCTGTGTGTTTTGGGAAAATATGACAACTCTGAAAGGTCTGAATCAGTCGACACTTCTTTTCTTCTGTCCTTTGTATATCTTTCATGCCATTTGAAACTGCCTCCCCTGAATACTCTAGCTGAAAAAAGATTTCCCTATTCATGTTTTGCTTTATGCTTCGTAGGACTGAAGAACGAGCTGCTGGATGGTATCGTTTGACTAGAGAGATCTTGAAGCTGCCTGATGCACCATCTGTATTGTCAAAAGATGCTAAGAAAGATTCCAAGGATGAAGCTAAAGATGTGCTCCCTCCAAAGTCAGCCAAAGACAAATCGAAGAAAACAAGGCGTCCTCAGCCCCTTATTAAACTTGTCATGAGAAGGTAGGAATTGCCCCTCCTCCCAGTAATCCTTCTAAGAAAATAAGTCTTCTAATTTTGTAAAAAAATATTGGTCCAGAATCATTATATTGATGGTCTTATAAACATACTTGCTGATAAATTTTGCATGTGGTCTGCCCATCCATTTGGATCATGTTTTTGTATTTTGCTTCAGGCTGGAGAGTGCTTTCCGTAGTTTCTCAAGGCCTGTATTGCATGCTGCTGCAAGGGTTGTGCAGGAAATGGGAAAAAGCCGAGCTGCAGCTATCTCTGTTGGTTTACAGGATATTGATGAACGAGACTACGTTAATACATTTTCTGATACACAAGATGATCCTGATGTTAGTGACAGCTCCCATCCTGAAGGTAAAGCTGTATTGCATTTTTTAATTCTGGACATCTTGTGGTGGTCTTATTTGCACATGCCTCATGATTCCCCCATACGCCTTCATTAAATTACACTTCGAACCCATCAAAGTTGACACTCTTATCAAAATTTCTTTATTTTATGTTTTCCTTAGTATGTCACTTACGCTGATGGGCAAAAGTCTTTTCATATCCCAATAAATAACCAGGTATTAGAAGAACAATTTCTGGCTCAAATGGAACTGGTGCAAGGGATACAATAGCAAGCTTATTAGCTTCATTAATGGAAATAGTGCGGACAACAGTAGCCTGTGAATGTGTTTATGTCCGTGCTATGGTAATCAAAGCATTGATCTGGATGCAAAGTCCTCATGAATCATTTGATGAATTAAAATCCATCATTGCATCAGAGCTGTCCGATCCTGCATGGCCAGCAGCACTGTTGAATGATGTTTTGCTGACTCTCCATGCTCGGTTCAAGGTTAGAAATCTTATGCTATACCGCCTTCAAGGAAATTTTACCATGTTAATACCGATTAGTGTCACGTATGTTTGAGGTCTATTTCTTGTATTTTACGACTTATTTGTTTCTGGCGGTTCAAACTATTTGTTTTGTTCATTTAAATGTAATAATGGACCTTAGTCACAGTTTAGTCATCTTATAACTTCAGTCATTGCAAGTGATTGTTCCATATTATCTGCTTCATGAAATGATACCTATTTGGTGGCGTTGGCCATGTGTTAATTCTGATGAATGAACTTATATGATATATTTCCGATATTATTTTGAGTAGACCATGAAACATAAATAAACCTTTTTTTATTTTTTTTAATATGCTTTGCTCTAATGAAAATGCAACAAATTTAAAGACAGGATGTGAACATGGTTTCTCCCAATGTGCCACATGGCTAAGGAGCATGGTAAAAGGTCAAAAGTACAGTCAGCTTGTCAAGCTGATAAAAACACCCAATGTGCCAATAGTGGGTTGGAGAACCTTTTTTATTTATTTTTAATTTTTATATTTTTATAAATGTATTTATGTTTGATGAAATGGACATGCAAGTATAGTGGAAATAATCTTTAGTTTGGAGCATGATTTTTGTTGTACTACCAGGAGCAAAAATTCAAGCATTGGGGTTGGTGGTTGTCATGTAAATTGTCTGTGAAAGGTTTGGTGCCAAAATCTCTAGGCTGCCTTGGTTTTGGATGCAGATAATAGAAGATACATTCTTTTTATGTTTGGCAGTTATTGTAATAAATTTTGGAATTGAAGTGGACTGTATTTTGCTTCTGTAAAACAATAATTATGGTCATGATTCATAAGACTGGTCGGAAGAAAACATTAAGGTTCTATTTTTAGCTATGTGTGCTTCTGCATTCTGTCACACATGATCACGATTTTAATTTACTGCCCTGTAGTTGTAGCTGAGATTATTAAACATTTTGCTTATTTTGGTGCTTTTAATTCTCATGACTACAGGCAACTCCAGATATGGCTGTTACTCTACTAGAAATTGCTAGGATTTTCGCCACAAAGGTTCCTGGAAAGATTGACGCAGACGTGCTACAACTTTTATGGAAAGTAAGTTCAAGCATTCTTCCCAGCAATTAAGTTGCTCCATTAAAATACTGCACTTATCGGTTTTGACTCTTGAGTAATTCCCATGCAGTCATGCAATCTCTTTCTAATTGATCTCCTATTGTATAGCTGAAAGAAAAGCCGTATTCTTATGCTTCTAGAGCCACCCCTAATTGGTAGCAATTGTTGAATCTAAGAGGTTGAGATTTTTTCTTAAATTTCTCCAATGCAAACTTATTAGCCTTGAAGTTTTATTAACAATGTTCAAACTTTTTTTAACTTATTAGGTTAATCCTATATTTAAAATATGAACTTATTGGTCCTAAAACTTAATTTTGACAAAGGTAGCAATTATTAGCCTATAACCAGACCTACTGCCTTTTAATTAATTCGTATGCATTTATGACTGCAAATAAGTGAAATAAGATGAGGATAACAAAACATATGAAGTGGATTCTCTCAATTGCTAATTCATTCTTTTCTTCAATATAGAGAACTGTACTAAGACTTCTAATGTCAATGATTCCACATATAACAGGGCTTCCATAAAAGTTCCCTGGAAGCTTGCACCTTAATAATGACTTGCCAAGATTCGAACCCCTCCAAGGGAATAGTGTCAATTTATTTTGGTCTGAGTGAGATCCACTTGGTTTCTTTAGAGATTATGTGATTTTTTTTGTCTTTGATGTTCTATGTTTAAAATTTAAGTTGCTGAAATGGAAAAATTGTGGAGCTAATATTCCTATATATTTGCAGACTTGCCTTGTGGGGGCTGGTCCAGATGGCAAACACACTGCTTTAGAAGCAGTGACCATCGTCCTCGATTTACCACCTCCACAGCCAGGTTCAATGGCTGGCATCACTTCTGTGGACAGAGTATCAGCTTCTGATCCAAAGTCTGCTTTGGCTTTACAAAGATTAGTCCAAGCAGCAGTGAGTATTACATTTTTAAGTTTCTAGTGAATTTTCTTTCCTTGATTTTGAAAATTCATGAATTATAATTCTTTTTTTTTTTTTTCCTAAGCGCATCATCACTCTCCTAAATCGGCCGTTTTTTTTATGCATCACTTCCTTTTTAAGACATCTTCTCTTATATTTTTTTTGTATCTCACTCCTCACATGGTTCCCACCTCTACTGTTTTTTTATTATTTCTCTTCTATCACATCCCTTAATCAACTATTACCCTACTCTTTTTTATTATTATTACTTTTGATTCCCAACAAAACCTACATACACAATATTTTACTCCATTCAACTCACTTCCCTAAAACTACGCGTCGGTCAAACCGATGCACTTAAAAAAATGGAGGGAGTATTCTGTTAGATTGTAGTATGTTTTCTGAACTTTAGCTGCACAGGTATGGTTTCTTGGCGAAAATGCGAACTATGCCGCATCTGAATATGCTTGGGAATCAGCAACACCCCCAGGTACTGCATTAACGATGTTGGATGCTGATAAAATGGTTGCAGCAGCAAGTTCTCGTAACCCCACACTCGCTACTGCTTTGACTCGACTTCAAAGGTGTGCCTTTAATGGCAGTTGGGAGGTACTACCTCTGTTACTTAATGTTCTTTAAGCTTTCCACACATGTTTGTTTCTTTTAATTCTGGACACTTTTGCTTTATTCCATTTTTGGTTATGAATTATTTTACACACTTATTCTGTTACCCTACACTAAAACCTACTTTTGTCCGCGGGTTAGCCTACTTAAACACTCTCTCTCTTCTTTTCTTAATCTGTGTGCAAATAGTGTCCTTAATTATATATGGCAATGAGGTGATATGTTCTACTTAAAATCTCCTTATAGTTTATGATAGATTAAGTTCTTGTAAGTAAGATACTACTATAAAATGTTGTCTGCAAGATGGTTCTTTTTCATATCAGTTGTCTAAGAACTAGTTTTCATGCTTTGCGCAGCTGTGCTATTTAGATCATATAAAATTTTCTGCATTAGGATCCCTACTTAACATGATAATTAATTATAAAAAAATTATTTTATAAACTTTTTTTTTATTTTTTATTTGGAAAATATGTTACAAAGGGCCTTTTATATTAGTGACAAGTGACCTATTGTTTTTTATAGAAAAAAAAAAAAAAAAAAAAAAAAGAAAAAAAGTGGCATTCCGGACCTTATAACATTTTGTTTTTGTTGACTGGGACTTTTGACCGGATTCAGGCCATTGACTACTACATTCCAGCGTTGACTATCATGTGCAATGCACGTGCCTTCTTCGAAAGCCTCGGTTTTATCCTTTTTTCTTCCTAACCTCCATTTCCACCATCCCACCATTATTCAACTGCCTTCCCATACCATTTTACTTAACATCATACATAAAATCAATTTTGGGTTTGCAAACTAAATATAATTTCGATTTTCTAGTATAGAGAAATTAGAAGGGGGAAGCAACGGTGAAATTTGCCCCTAAGTAACAGTTTTAGGGTTTATAAATTAGATTGAACAAATTCATAAATTGCTTTTCCCTCCTCACAATCTCTCTTCCTTTTGGTCTGTTGTGTCCTACTAGGGGTGTTAACGAGCCGAACCAAGAGCTTAAAACCCCTAGACGTGGGCTCGGCTCGAGCACTAAGTGCTTTAACTTGTCTCAAATTTACCTGTTTCTCACCAAATTTTCCCTATTTCAGTTTCCTAAACTAATACTTAACCTTTAAAAATTTATAATACTCCCTGGAGAAAATCTACCATGGAGTCAGTGTTTTGATGATTTCTGTCCACCAATGATGGCGGCCTTTCTTCATAACAGACACCATATCTTCTTTCTCCTTGTAAAATCTCCTTCAAAATCAATCTTTTATCTTTCTGACTCACATAAATCTCTTCCTCTATTTCTGTCTTTTCCATAACTGAACGTCTTTCCAAAATAACATAAATTAAATCAAGCATGTGTTAACTATCCAAGTAACAATCAGAGGTAATTCAAGAGCTTAAAATTCAGAAAAATGGACCGCATCATGAAATTAATATGATAATCAAGACCAGAAATTTTTTGAAATTTAATCCCAATTCACCCTGACTGCAAATTGGCAATTCAAAATTGTGCTAAAGTGGTGTTGGTGCTGGTGGAAGGGTGATTTGGACACGAGTGAGCACTGGAGCCAGCTGGAGGTGTACTCTGGCAGAAATAATTGTGGGATGGGAAGACTGGGAACGAATGGTTATGTGATCAATGATGATGATGTTAGTGTGAGGGTGGTAGGCTGGATTGGTGGGGTGATGCTTGAAAGTAAGATGATTGTATGTAGGAACATGTTGTGAAAATGGAGTAAAGCTTGGTCCATCCAACTGTTTGGCATGGGTGCATTACACCATAGATTAATCTTTCAGGCTTTACTGTCCAGAACCAATTAAAAATTGTTTAGTGCTGTTGCTGAAATGTTTCTTCATATGTTACACTGACCTGCATTGAAGATATCTAGAGCCAATCGCAGCCTGAGATAGGCCAGATTGGTTCTTCATATATTCTCAGTTCACCCTTGTACCCTTTGAGGAGATTAGGCAAGAAAAGGATTAAAACTATGGGGGAAATAATTGTGGTAATGCAGTCTTGTGACATTGATGTCTTATATAGTGTTCTTGTGGTTAGAATCTTCTATATCTCATATGCAAATCAGGTTAATATTAACCCCTTTATCCGGAATTTTTATTAGATCCGTATAGTTGCTGTGCAAGCTTTGACAACAATGGCTATCAGATCCGGTGAGCCATACAGGATACAGATCTATGAGTTCTTGAATGCTTTAGCTCACGGTGGAGTACAGGCAAAGTTTTCTGATCTGCATGTTAGTAATGGTGAAGATCAAGGGGCAAGTGGCACGGGACTTGGATCTCTTTTGAGTCCAATGATACAAGTGCTTGATGAAATGTATAAAGCACAAGATGATCTAATCAGGTAAGATGTCAATTCTCTTATTTGTATGTACTTTTTGATTTGCAAATTTTTCTGTTGATCCTCAAAGAGGCCTATCCAACTATTATCACAGGGACATAAGGACCCATGACAATGCAAGTAAGGAATGGACTGATGAAGAACTGAAAAAATTATATGAGACCCATGAGAGATTGCTGGATTTTGTTTCACTATTTTGTTATGTTCCTAGAGCAAAGTATCTCCCACTGGGACCAACAAGGTAAGTTCTTGTCTTCTTGACATAATTAGCATTTCAATCTCTCTAACTAGTAGAAGCTACTTTTTTGTGCAAGTAGAAATTCAGAAACTTTCAAGAAAGAAAAGATAATTCGGCCTTTGACGATTCTCATTTCCATATTATATTATCATTGTGATTGACTTGATCTGTGGGGTTTGTTCTTTTTACAATACCTCCATTTCACAATAGATGCGTTGTTTTGACTTTTCTACTTTCCATACACTACTTTGACCATTAATTTTTGTAGACATTAATTAAAAAAAATTTAAAAATTTATATTTGAAAATATACATCGAGACCAATCCAACATTATTTTACATATAATGATATAAATATTTATGTTTAATATCTATGTAAAAAGTGTACTCAAAGTCAGCAAATGAATAATACAAAAAGTCAAAACATTGCATATACACCAATTTTTATGTTTCAAAATTGCAGTTTACGACCCACAGGGGAGGAGGGAGGGGGTTATGGAAGTAGGTAGAAGCCGTATGAGGTAGGACTGATGCTGACTGTATTGGCTTTTCATTTTATTTATGCTGACAGTTATACATTGCTTCCTTTTGAAATTACATTGCAGTTCAAAGCTTATTGAGATCTACCGCAACAAGCATAATATTAGTGTGTCGACTGGTATAAGTGGCTTCAGCAGTTTAAATGATCCTGCTGTTGCAACTGGGATTTCTGACCTTATGTATGAAACCAAAGCAACACCTACTGAATCTGATGGGCTTGATGACGACCTTGTCAATGCATGGGCAGCAAACCTTGGTGACGATGGCTTGCTGGGAAAGAATGCGCCTGCAATGAACAGAGTAAGATAAATTATTGTATTTGTCTTTCATGCTGTACGTTCTAGGTATGATGAGCTTGATGAGACAAATATGCTGCAAGCATATTAGGTAGCCATGATGTTCCACAACTAGCTTGCTTCTTACAACCACTCTTCTATTTTCTACCAATTCTCTTTCAATGTGGGACTTCTTATATTAAGCTAATGAGCTACCTGTTTTCATTTATAACCTTCTCTCCTACTTACTCCCATTCTTCTTTCAATATAAGATTTTTGTTATTAAGCTTATACTCTTATAGTCCACAATAGCATATGTCATACACTAATTCAAACAGGTCAAGATACATTACTATATACAAAAACACTGCATTTTCCGATTACAAACATCACCCCCTATGTTACATGGACTCAGGAACGGGTGTCGGACACGGACACATATCCAAGTGTCCGATCCGGCAAGTTCCAAAATTTTAGGACACGGGGACTCTGTCCGATATTTGGACACGGGTACGGGGACACGTCGATACGTCACTAAAATTTATAAAAATAAATTATATATTACAAAAGCTTTAAATTCTTCATTATGTCCACCCCCATTTTTTTTTATTTTCCTCTGTAAATTCAACCGATAAATGGCAGTCTTCTTCTCTCCATCTTCTCTATATCAATGGCAGTCTTCAAACAAGATGTGTTTTTCTTTCATGTTTCTCCTCTTTTTTCATCTTTATTCTTAATGGAAGTGTCTGAGTGCACAGTGAAGGGTCGGACACGTGTCGACACGGACACTTCACAATTTTAGCCGTGTCCAATTAACATAGATCACCCCCACAAAGTCACAGCCTGCACATTCTGGTCAAAAATTATGTCTAGCCACTTGTCAATTTCTAGCTTCTTGGGTTAGTAAGTGCAACAAATCTCAAGACTTGGCCGTTACACTCACTTCCTATAGCACATTATACACGCATCTACTTAAATTTTTGTTTATAATATCAATTAATAATATAAAATGTTAATTTTATATTACTTTGATAATTATTTATTTTATAACTAAAAATACTCGAGCCTAGTGAACTATAACTAGACTTATAAATGTTATAGAAAATTCCGATGAAGGATTAGAAACTGAAATACAGTCTATCCATTGACCAAATCATCTGAAAAGCTCAACAATGTATCAAATGCAGTCATTTACATCACCATAAGTATATCCGACAACTTTCATTACCCAAAATAGGCTAGATGTACGTATCAAATAAACCCCAAATTACACAGATAATTATAGTAGGTCCAAGAAAAATAGACTTGAAATACTGTCCACAAAGATAATAAACATTGTCCAAATAGAAGTATCACAGCCTTTGAGCTTTGAAATTTATGTCATTGTCTAGCTTCATATTAATATTCAAACTTATAACAGGCGACCTCTTAATTCTCTCGGATACTATCAACATGTCAGGTCACATCCCAGTGATATGCTATATGTTTGTTAGATTATGATATTAAGGTTAGTGGTGAGAAGTAGCCAAGTTGTTGGCACTTTCATAAATGTTGAGTTGTCTCTGTATGAGTTGAAAACTTTTTAGTATTTTATTAAGTCAACTTGATATTATGCTTTGTAACACCTTATGTCCTATATTGAGAGATGAGGGGATTAAACATAGATAATAAATAGAATGTGTCCAGAGCTTCCCTGTGGGTCTAATGAACTTATTTTGAAATGATAAGTTTTATAGGTAGTAATCCATAATGGATGTTCGCATATGATTTAATGAAACTAGAATATAACATTCAGGTGGGTTTTTAAATCCTTGACACAGTGCCTCTTATATTAATACCATGGTACTGCAATGCTAAGCTGCCTTCGTTTTGGTTACCGTTTTAAATAGTTATTCTATTGCCAAAATCAAGTACGCATAATCCTATGCTCTGATTTTGTCATCTGATGCCATGTCCTTAATGTTGCATGCTTTATGGTGTTAGGTTAATGAGTTTCTTGCTGGGATGGGAACCGATGCTCCAGATGTTGAGGAGGAGAACGTCGTTGCTCGGCCTTCTGTTGGTTATGATGACATGTGGGCAAAGACACTTCTGGAGACCACAGAACTCGAGGTACGCATCTGAGCATTCTCTAGGTTCTATTGTTAATATTAGAACTTTCTAGAAAGTCCTCCAAATTTCCCTTTACATTTCCTTTGCCACTAATTTTACATCTTGTTTGTATGTACTATTTTGCAGGAAGATGATGCGCGGTCATATGGATCATCTTCTCCAGATTCAGCAGGATCAGTTGGGACCTCCATATCATCACATTTTGGTGGAATGAATTATCCTTCACTTTTTAGTTCAAAACCATCATATGGGGGCTCACAGTCATCGGTATGTAATTGATGTTGATACTAGACTTTGGTCTTTTCTAAATATCTTCCCTTTGTCTCTTTCTTCATGGCTAGTTTTTCCTTTTCTTTTTTATAATTGCTGAAAAAGTCTAAGTTACAATATAATACCAGCATTTCTTACTTTGTCGACTTTTTTCCCCCCTTTTTTCAACATTGAGAATTACTTAAAAGATATATTTGAGAGAGTAAGTGGTTTCCACCTAGGTATTCTAGAGTATGGCTAGTCTCGTCACATCTTTGTTATGTATCCTTCTTTATGAGGTCTTCTTCTGTGGCCTACTGTAGGAATAATAAATTTAATGTGGCTCCTTTTTTATTCTTCTGTAACTTTGCCCTTCAACCATCAAATGCATTGGAATCACCAAAAAACATACCTATTTAGCCTTATTAAGCCTCTCTGAATCTGACCAAATTTACAAGGCTTGATGCGTTTGGTAGAGCTCTGTTTCCCTGATTGTACTGTGCACTCGTACTTTGCAAAACATAAATGCAACTTATTTAACCAAGGGATCCTCATCGGATACTTCCTTTGACCTTTGACAATCCATTACCTCACTGTCTCTTTCTTAGCCATAAGATTGGCTTTTATCATTTCTGCACAGAGAATGCCTTCCTTATCTAAGCACACATCTCCCACATCCTTAGAACATGCATCTTGATCCCCCTTCTTTAAGAACTCTCATTCTCATTAGAGACATAGAAAATAAGTTGTTAACCTGAAATTTTTTCGCATGAAATCACTTCTCCAAATTTGGATGAGACATATGTTATGTTTAATGAGGTTTCTATATTAGTTGTAAAACTCTTCTCTTATGCCCCCTCCATAGCCTCCTTACGGGATATCCTTCTAATTTTAGGGATTCTGACTTGTGAGAGGGTTGCTCTAAAGCAAGTGTTCCAACCATTGTACATAACTGTAGCAATGGAAGGATGGCAATAGACCAGAGGTTGTCTCTCTTTGGTGAGTGAAAGCTCTAATATCCTTAACTCGTTCACATGAGTTGATGCATGATTTTCAGATTTTGGGTTTTCAAAGTTAAATACTCACTCTGTATATTATTCCTTCATTACTTGGAGATGTAACCCCTCTATCTTCACGCTTGCCTATGCATAACTTCAACAATCAAATTCTTTATTACCAATAAATATAAGTATAAAAAAGTTAATATTTCTAAAGCGTAATTGTGATGAATCTAGCAAGATCCCACATGACTATGTTTTCTCTAAATTGTAAATCTCCAACAAAAGTCAGAGAGTGTGACTAGTGTAATTTGCTAGACGTTGCATCTATAAATAAATGGGGGAAGTATATAAATTTTTTAGATTAAATTGAATTTGATGGTATCCCATATCATCTAAAAAGAGACTGAGGTAGGCTAATTATGTAGAGACTGAGGGGGTTTGTTTCTGACTTTGACCTTTAATATGTGTCTGAACTCAGGTAGTATCATGCTAACATGGGTACAGCAGCTTCAAAGCTGATATTCTAGCTATACTAAACAAACTCAACCCAACAAAATAACAAATGTATAGAAGGCTCAAGGCGTACCAAGGAGATAGGGATTTCTTATTGAAGTGAGGCGCACTAAATAAAAAAAAGGAAAAAAATCTGGAAAAAAAAGTTGTGTGTGTCTCCGTGATTGCCTTGCCTAGACCAAAAAAGGTGCATGGCCCATGTCGCCTTGCGCCTAGCACACCTTTTTATATGCTGGACCAACTGATCTATTTTACAACTTTACTTTATACCATCTTGCCTTGTGAACAATTATCTGGAATATCAAACTCTTTAACTTGCAGGAAAAGGCATCTAACAAGTATCCCATGGGGGTAGCTCATCTCTCTATGAGGGCTATGGTTCTCCGGTATGTGCTTACTAAACCTTTTTCCCCCCTTGCGTTCTCTGTTGTGTTTAATTTGCTATTAGCTATGCATTACTGATTTCTCTATCATCTTCAGATTAAAGAAGAACCACCATCATATGAATCACACGCCTTTGAGAGAGATGATGCATTTGTTAATCCGTTAGCTGGCTCTGCATCTCGTAGTTTTGGATCCCAGGATGAAGAACGAGTTTCTTCTGGAAATCCTCAGCCTGGAACTGCTCTGTATGACTTTACTGCTGGTGGGGATGACGAGGTAAATCCACTTGTGCAACCTGTTCAGATTTTTAGAGTGATTAAGTTTTGTTTGAATTTTTTTCTTTTTCATTTTATGCAGCCAAAGCATAAATCCTATTGTTTTTTTAACAGCTAGATATTGATCATTCCCCAATTTCATGCAGTTAAATCTAACAGCAGGCGAAGAGGTTGAAATTGAGGATGAAGTGGATGGCTGGTTTTTTGTAAGTGTAGATGTCTTTTTTCCCTTCTTAAGAACTTTTATCATGCAAAGAAACCCTAGCTTTTGATATGCTTGTGTTGACTCTGGTTTTAGATGAAATAAAGGGTGAATATGTTTACGATTTCACATATGGTTCTATTCTAATGTAGGGGTGTTATATGGGTAAACATCGCTACAGCTTTTGGAGTTTTGGGGTGTAGTCACTATTTACTTAATGTATCGATGTTTATTTTTGGAGTTAAGGTGTCGAATAATTGTTTGGTTAGGTGTTCATGATTCGAAATTCTGCATTATTGATGTGCTCTCTTCTGCTTAACCTGACTTGATGCCATTGCACACATTCCCTAAATTCTGACATGTACACATTGTCTTTACTGACTATTACTTCTGAACTTGCAGGTAAGGAAGAAACGCCCTGGTAGAGATGGGAAGGTGGCTGGGCTAGTACCAGTGCTTTATGTTAATCAGTCTTGATGATCTTTCCTGTGTTTGTGTGGATATAAATCAATTGCATCTCATGATGTATTTCAGAAAAGACACAATTATTCCCTTGTGGTATATGTAAAGAAACTAGTAACTGTATCTGCGGCTTAAAGAGAGAGTTCACTGGAGGAAAAGGTTTTCTTTTATTTATGGTTAATGCACATTGTTGTTGCTGACGGATGAGTCCTGTTGACTAAAATGTGTCGACTCTATACTAGATTTGTATCAGCTGATCTGGTCTGCGCCGATAAGCTTAGTACATGTTATCTGTATAGCTCATCAGGTGAGCTGCATTATTTGAAGCCCTGGTGTTGTTTGTAGTCTGGTTTGTCTTATGGAAACTCATGTTGTGATCGAGTTCCAAATCATAAACTGAAAGACATTGTAGGTAGAACATATGTATAGTTATATCTTGGTTGTGTAGACTGCAGTCCAAATACAGTGTGATGTAGTTTTGTAGAGTTGACATTTCAAGAAGTAGGTATGTAAAACTCATTCTTTTTTGTAGCATATGATGTGCAACTGACGTCAACGACTTTGTTATGATGCACATTTTTGTAGCATGTTTCTCGTTTGTGTTAGCCTGATGTTTTCCTACTTGAACATGGTGTCGATTCTATTTACTATACGATTTTTTTTTTTTTTTTTTTTTTTTTTTTTTGAGAAAGAGTTCATTAAACAAAGGCGAAAATTACAACCTATAGCTGAACGAAACAACCAAATACATTGTGTTGATTCTATTTAATATACAATGCTATGCTGTTGAGTAAGAACGGATTGACGATGAAGTTTGCTATCTTTCCAAATTTGATACTGGTCGCATAACACACTCCAACAAACTAAAGATGCCACTATCTTCTTATTAAAATAATTACCAAAAATTAACTCCATCCGATTATTTTTATATGCAACAAAGGAGGTTGCACAAATGCGTAGGCAAAATTTTTAATAGTAGATTAGCAAATGTTAGCCCATGTGATTAGAGAGTAGGAGAGAGAAAGTGGGGATCAGTTTTTTGAGGAAAAGAGTGGGAAATGAAGGGAGACCAACTATTTTGGTGGGGTTTAATATTTTCCCACCAACAATTTCAGACGAAATTTAAAAAATTTGAAGTATCATCGAATTTTTCCCTCCATAAAGACATATTCACATAAAAGGAGGCTTATAAATGCAAGTCCCAAACATTCAAAGTTTTTGTTCAAAAGATCACCACATAAACTGATCACCAGCATCAACCTAGATAGTTTGATAGTTTGCCACCATCACAATTAAACTTAATTTTTGAAATTACCATTTTCCAACAAAAGTTAGCACTAAACTAATCTGTGGCAGCCCATATGTACCAAAAAACTACTTTCTAAACCAAATTAGTGCTAAGTAGACATCATCATCATCTTCTTCCTATTCACAGTAGCAGCAACTCAAGCACACAGCCACCAAAAAACAGGAAAAAAAAAAAAGAAAAAAAAAACACAAAAACCACCAAGTTAGTATGGTAGGAATATTTTATGCAGATTTTTTCAGTGTTGATCAATTAATAAATGAAGAAAATGGGACTCCACATGATGATGATGAAGACAGTGATGATGATTTTTTTGTACTTGCCATGTAAGGAGAAGGATTCATGCAACAAGAAACTGCCCACAACTCAAGTAGGAGTAGAAAGCAATTACCTTTACATAAGAAAAGAGAGATATGTGATGCTATATTAATGAGAATGCAAGATGGGACTCTTCCAAGGGGTTTCATGTCAGCCCTTGCTAGAAAATTTGAATTGCACAGGTCTACAATCACAAGGTTATTCAACAATATAAACTCACAATTGGCACAGGGGAATGTCATTGATGTCAGGTCAAACAAAATTGAAAATTATGGGAGAAAACCCATACAAATCACTGATGAATGGTTGCAATCTGTTCCTTTATATAGGGGTGAAACAAATTTGGGTTAAAACCGAACAAAACCGAACCGAATAAAAAATATGGTTCGGTTTTTTTCGAAAGTGGTTCGGTTTAGTTTTGAAAAAAAAAATATTTCGGTTTGGTTTCGGTTTTAGAAATTGAAAAACCGAACAAAACCGAAATGTAGGCTTAAAAGCCCCCTAGCCCAACACTTTTACCCTAAGTGAAAAAAAAAACCCTAATCCCTCACTTCCTACTCTCAGTCTCTCACCTCTCCTTTCCTCTTCTTCTCCTGATCTCAGTCATCTCACCTCTCCGCCCTTTCTCTCTCCTCTTCTCAGAATCTCAGTTCTTCCTCTCTCTCCTTTCCTCTTCTTTACTCCGCCCTTTCTTTCTACTCTTTGATCTCTTCTCCATCACTCTCTTCTCCTCTTTTCCCCACCAGCCCGCAGCGAACAAGGTTTTTTTATAGCGTTATCAAGCCATCAATTGAGTAGCTAAAGGTTTTTCATGTCAAATTCGACCATGAAAACACTAGACCTAGTGTTTTCATGGTTGAATTTAACCTTTAAAACCCAAATTCGAGGTTTTTTGGTGGAATGTGAGGTAGGTCCTCTTTTTCTTAATTTTAATTTGATTTGAATTTTTTTCCTACTTTATTTTTATGGTGGTGTAGTCGTGTAGATTGAATTTCGGTGGTGATAGGTAGTTTTGCGTCGATCTAGGGTTAGGGTTTGGGTGGAAGGGATGAAGGGTGGTGAAATAAGGTGGGCTATGGGTCGTTGTGGGTTGCGGTGGGTGCGGATCTGGGTTAGGGGTGGTGATAAGGTGGTTAGTGGTGGTTGTTGTGGGTGGTTAGTGGTGGTAGTTTCGGTGGATTTTGGTAGGTTAGGGTGGGTTTTAGGTGGGATGTTTGTATGGATTAGTTTGGTTTGGTTTGGTTCGGTATTAATTGGTGTGGTTTGGTTCGGTTTTTTTGCAAAATTTGATGTTTACGATGTTTGAAAGGAAAATTCGGTGTGGTTTGGTATTTTTTAAGAAAACCGAATTTTAGGTGGTTTGGTTTGGTTCGGTTTCAAAGCTAAAGTGGTGCGGTGTGGTTTGCAAAATCAAAAAACCGAAATTTGGTGGTTCGGTTTCGGTTTGGGCAAAAAATTAAACCGAAAACCTGCAAGTGCTCTCAAGGTTTCACAGACAACAATTCACAACCTAAGGAAAAGAGGCAAAATCAGAACACATACAAGCGCAACACATCCTGCATTGACAGCAGACCACGAATTTTGGCACCGGTACCGTACATCTTCCTCATTTCATGACAAGAAACGTGACGCATAACAGGTAAACTTACCCTTTCCCTTCTTAGCTTTGCCCTTCCTACCACCAGAGGAACTCCCTCCCCTCTTTTGAGCCTGAGCAATGGTGTCATAGGTGAACAGATCGTCACCAGAAGGCTCTGTCTTGATTTTTTTTTTTTTTTTTTTTTGAGGAAATCATGTTAATTAGGGTTTGACAGGATTGGCGAGAGAGAGAAAAGATGAGTAGATCTAGAGTTTTAGAAAGTGACAAAAGTAAGGAAAGGGCAGGACCACTTGAATTTATAGGGGGCGCAATTTAGGGTTTGAGCAAGAAACCCATATGAAGGTAGCCATGGGAGTAAATGCAGGTAGGTGAGGAGATCTAAAGAACAATAATGAATGCAGGTAGGTGAGGAGGTGAGATAATTTTTTGTTTGATTAAGTAGTAGTGTAATGTTGTAGATTAGATTAGGTTAAGTAGGATTATGTTAATTTAATCAGGTTTTTATTTTTCTAAATGAGGGTATTTTTGTCATTTCTGGTGTACAAAATTTGCCAAAAAAGGAAAGAGATGGGTTTGTTGCACATAATTGAAATCACCCATTTATAGTATTTGTTGCACATAAAAATAATCGGAGGGAGTATTAGATTTATACATCAAAATGTATCTTCGATTAAAAATATTTTTTTTATATGGAGGCACATAACATGTGCCAAGCTCAACCCAGGTGCAGGTCCAGACAGCTTTTGTCTATTTGTGACTAGAGGTGTCAAAAACCACACCCGATCCAAAACTGACCCGAAAAATATCAGATTTAAATTTGGGCTCGCGTGGACGCAATAATTTAGTAATACTCAACTTTAAAAATTGACCCGACTCGATCCGATCATTCGAATTGACTCCTCAATTTGTGCAACTATATTGTGAGCAAATGACAATAATAATAATAGTAATGACATGATGAAGTATTGTCAAGACACTCAATATTACAACACTAAAACTGAAAGCTTAAATATACATGAATTAAACTAGAGTTTTACACTTTTACTCTACATCAGGAGAGATGGAAACCAATTTTTCTTTCCGAGCGAGTTTTTCTCTTGAGACTCTCTAAGGCTTTTAGAATTAAACTAGAAAACTCTCTTCAACTCTGCCTTTCACTCTTTGCCTAACGTCCTTTATAATAGGAGAGTGCTTACACAATTTACCTACACTTTTTATGGCTTACAATAATTCTTAGCTCGGCGAATGGATGTAGTTCATTTCTTTTACAAAGACACTTTTTAAAAAAGAAAACAGTGAATAGAAAGTTTTTTAAACATGGTTACAGTATGCAGCTACACAAATTGCTTTAGTGGGGCTTAATCTTCCACTATCTCATCCATCATCATATCTTGTAGGCCACCTTTATATTCCTTGTTGTTTAGATAATTTTTGTATATGAGATCTTCAGTAATCTCAATTTTTTTGGCAATACTTCTGGACTACTCCTGCTGCATAACATTCTTTCTACGTCATGAAAGCTTTAACATATATTCATGGCCTTTAGATGATAGAAACTTTCCAGTTTCAATATCTTCTAAATATTTGTAGACTAACTCAGTATTCTTTATTTCATATACTAAATATTCTTTCATCTCGTACCATGCTACGATTGTAGTATTTCTAATATGGAATATATTAAGAGGATTTTCAATTCTTCCCATACACTGATTAAGACATTGTGAGATGTAGAAGAATCCCAGTACCCTTGCTTCAATAGGATTTTTAACCCTTTTCTAACGAACTTCAATTGGATCCCAGTCACTATATCTCATATTTCCAAACATTATCTAATAATGTGATGGATTGATTGTTCCTTCTATTACCTCTATATACACTATCACATTGCACCTTTACTAGTAGTTCTTCCGATTTGTCAACGCAAAACTGTCGAATCTTATTGAATGCATATTAAAAGTATTCATATTAGTATTCATAGCATGTATTCATTAGATTTTACACATTAAAATACAATCAAACTCATTACAAAATAAAAGTTACCTTTAAAGGGTTTAAAGTTACCATAAAAATAGTTACCGTTACTCTTAAACTAGTTGTTTTACAATCAGATTAATGTAAGACCCCCCCTATATATACAAGACTAATAACAAAAATTCTTGATTAAGGCGAACTTTCATTAAATTATTGTAAAACAAGTCAAAGTTACCCTTATATACAACAAAAGTTACCATTTTCCTAACATAAATTTTACCTCTCTTTAGTCCCCACCTTATAATTTTGCCTAAAACTTTATATCCGCCTTATTATTACAATTATTACGAAATGGAAGAGTATTGACAATTGCAAGACCCTTATCTCAACCGTCCAACATCTTATATATA